ACCTTAAGCGCATACTTCCCGCATTACGAGACCCAAATGTTCACTGCGCTCCGCCACAAGCCAACGCATTCTATTTCTCAAATACCTATTTTAATATTATACCGTTACCCACATCAACTCACAATAAGTTTCTGGCCCCTTTTCACATGAGGTGCTGAGCAGGCTGCCCTAGTACGCGTGTTTTTATGGAACAGAAGTTTCCAAATTTTGTTGCTAACCCCTAGAAATGCTGCAGCCGTCCCTTCAGTGACGACAGCTGTTTAATGGTGTCTTACCCGTGGACTACAGATATGGAATAGCGCGATATAACAGAACAGTTGTAGCTTATATTTCCCTGAAGAAGAAAAACAGATAATTCGAAACGCTGTGATATTATAAGACTTTTAAAAACCTGCAACCTCCAAGAAACCTGAGGCCTATTTTAGTGCACCGTGGAGTCCGGCAAAGGTTTACCGGATTTAAGAGGTGCTTACTGCCTCCATCATCAGCACGAACACCCCTAAAATGTCGGTCAGTATCTACCAGACTACATGGCGCAACATCCCATGAGAACCTGAGATCTCGCCTACTCACGGTGTTAGAAAAGAAAACAAATATTGGTTCCGCGAATTGAATGAGCTTAGGTTACGCATCACTCATCGACAAATGGAAAGAGTTAATACACGCTGGATACTGTAGGTTATATGTAACACACCTTCTGTGCGCATGACGGGAGAACCTGTCCGATCCCTGCAGCGCAAGTCTCTCATATGTGTTCCTACTACGGCTTAAACAAACGTCATTCTGTGATTTCTCAACAAACTGCCTGAAGTTATAAAAAAAATACAGCGTTCGGCTTTCACAATTCTCTTGCAGCAGAACCCGAAGGTTCAACATAACCAGTACATCGGACACAATCCTTATTAAACAGTAGTTATTCAGAATTAGGAAGGCAGGGCTGAAGTATACAGATAGACGAGTTATTTACAAGCATCAGGTGGCCACAATAAAAGTGGAGAATCGAGAAAGACAAGCATTTATTAAAAATGGCGTAAGACAAGGATGCAGCCTATCACCCCTGCTGTTTAACTTGTATGAGGAAGCAATGAAGGAATTGAAGGAAAAGTTCGGGATAGGAATAAAGGTTCAAGGGGAAGAGGATGGCAATTTAATTATATTGCCCTTTTGGCTGAAAGGAAGGAAGATGCAGAGAAATTATTGAATGGTATGAATAGATTACTCAGTGAGCAATTCGGCTTAAGGATAAACAAAAGTAAGACAAAAGTTATGAGGAGAAATGAGAATAATGATCCATTAAATATCAAAATTGGGAAAGACATAGTAGAAGTGAAAGAATTTTGTTATTTAGGAAGCAAAATCACAAAATATGGATGAAGCAAGGAAGACATTAAAAGCAGATTAGCACAAGCAAAAAGAGCCTTCTTCAAAAAGAGAAGTCTACTAGTGTCAAACATTGACCTGGAATTAAGAAAGATTTTTCTGAAGTTTGGAGCACGGAAGCGAGGGGAGACAAAGATTGGAATATGTGGGCTGCAAAAAAATATGTGGAAATGAAGAGACTGGTGCAAGATAGGTGAAAATGGAGGACCGCATCAAACCAGTAGAAAGACTGACGACAAACAAACAAACATTCACTTCAATACAATTTTAATCGTACACGTGTTATAGTTCATCTGACTCAGGCATATCCAAAGTACAGTCAGCAGGTCGGATGCTGGCCGAAAATATCTTAATTTGCCCGATTCATTTTCCAGTTTTAATGCAAAAAGAGCCTGCGTTCCTTTAGTCAACTTTGCCCTGACATAAAACACTGACTTTACGTGTAAAAAGGGTGACAAAACCGCTCTAATTTATTCAGCTTTCACGAATCACGCCTTCTGGCCCCTTCCAATTGACAATTAGTTGATGAAATAGCCAGTGATTAGACTGTGGGCCGACCTCCTTAGGCGACGGATCTGTACCCACAGAAGACCTTGACCCGAGTGGGACGAGGTCCGGACCCACGAACTAATGCTGCCCCTAAAAGGTGTGTCCCGCGCTGTGGCTCGGCGTTGTCTTCAAAAGTGTTCAGTACTTCCGGCAACAAAAGATTATTCAACCCCACCGAAAAGTCTTCGGTTTGTTGCTTGTTCTTTCTCAGCTGGTATGCAGCCCAATCGATCATTCTGCATTATGAGTCCACCGCTGGGTTCGATCCTGACCAAGTTACGTCACGTGCACAGCTTCGTACCCTATTACCTGACATCCATTTTAATAGTATCCTTCCCAGTGCGGTTGGACGTAAGTATCCAAAATTGTATCTACCCTGGACGTTTTCCAATTAACATTTAACATAAATTTCTCATTTCCACGATGCGTGCTACATGTCCCACACGTCAAAACTCATCTTCCCTCAACTGCCATAATAATCCTAAGTGAAGAGAACAAATGGTAAATCTTCCCACCGCGTAATTTTCTCTAGTCATCCGTGTTTTCGGTTCCGAAGAATGAACTGTGTAATCCGCCATTGATGAAACACACATAATAAAGATCTACAGACGAGCGAGTTCGCTGTACTGTCAGATAGAAAAGACTGGGAAGGAAATGGTAGTGGCCTAATTTAAGGCACCAGAATGACTGAGAAAAATCACGAAAACGACATCAGTAGAGCCGGTCTCAGGGCCGACATTTGAACCCGAGATCTCCCGAATACGAAGCAGGTGTGACAGCCACTCACCACGACGTTCGGCGAATTAGGTGAATCATCAAAATGAGTAGCATTTCTAAAACTGTATGTCAGTGCATGTTGGGCCGTGCTGCTTCAGTGCTTTGGTAGAAATTCAGATCGAAAGTCTTAATAAACCCTTTGAAGCATCAAGCGCATCTAAATATTAATTAAAAATTCGGTTCTTTCTTCAAAGAAAACACAATGAGTCTCCACTGCCATTATCGACTACTTCATTCTATTATTTTTTTAATATTATTGTCAATATTTTTTCATGTTTACATATACATACGTACATTTTGAAATATTATCCCGTATTCTTAAACCCTACTCAATTTTAAAACTTAGTTTTGTTTCAAATCGTTCTACAATATAAACTTCAGCTCCGTGACCGCAAATGTACTGCAGGATCCCACTCGCAGCTCAAATGTCCTGCAACGTCGCCTGACACAATTACAGACTGAATGATGATCTACATCACGCTGAAATACTTCGCGCTGTAGCCATGTTGTTTTCTACATTTCTAAAAATATTACTACAGTTTATAATAAATGCACAATTTTCAAAGACCTTACAAAACTTGAGGATTCTTCATTAAACAGCGCTAGTGCTGCCCCCACCTCATAAGTTAGCAAATTTTGTCACTAGAGGCCGAGCGAGAAGAACTTGCGCAAAGGACTGATTTTGGTCGTGTGAGATGGACCCGCCCGAGGAACGCGCTAGAGGGGTGTCATCTTCAGTTGGTTTCTAGCTCTGGCTGTGTTTAGATCGGTGCATCACCACAGCTGAGGCTGTGCGACCCCCACTACTACTGAACTCCCCTCCCTCGGCTTACACATCACGCATTTAGGTGCCACCATTACTCGCGCGACCTCTACGGTTGGTGACGCAGTGTCTGACCGCACCGCATATTCACACACAGCCTCACAGAAAGCTACAAATTGATGTCTCGCATAATGAATGATAGAAGAATAGTTCTGCGTCATGACCGAGCCAAGCGTTAGGTTGCTTTCTCTGTTATGAACATTATGTCACTTTCACAAGTTTAGAGCGAACTGGGTCACGCCCCGAAGATGTTCATCTCAGACTGTCATTGTTTGAGTCGCCTCGCCCTGCTTGGTAACGCCCCGCGATCGGTCCTCAAAAACGGTGATTTCACAAAATAATAACACACCTTCACCGCTATAGGCTCTTTAAAATTCCAAGGCAGTACTGGTTTAAGAACACAATACAATAACACACTTACAAGAAAGGCTACGTTCGACGTACAGACAAAGGCAACTCACAGAACGAATAAGTCTGTCCCACAGATAGGCCGCAATGCTGTGTGGCCCTCAAAGTTTTGGTACAGCTAAAGGTAAAAAGGCAAAGATGTCCCTGGTACTTACGTAAGCTCCACGCCATGAAGACATAACGTGGCGTGGAGGTATAGCTCCACGCATTATAGACCTTGGCATTAGGTCCCGGACGCTTTATCTAAAGGAAAAATGATCCGTACCCATTGCATAGGAGACTGTGTGGGGCCCAGAGGTGGTCTGAGCGTTTTGGCGAAATAAAAATTACCCAGGAATCGAACTCTGGTCATCCATCTCGCCAGAGAAACTACAGGAACTGTCATGAACTATTACACCATTAGTTCACATTTCCCAATTTGCTCCTTATTCGTACTACATGTGCTGCCCACCGGGTAAAGTGTACAAATTGTTAAACTCTCTCACCTGTAATTTTCTTCAACACCCCCCCCCCCAAATAACTGTGATCCTGCTTTTACAGTATGCACAGAACTTGAAGAACGAGTTACTTCATTCTGGAACGGTGTGTACAGGCTTATACACACGAAGCAAAGAGCATATATTTGTATGCGCCAAGCACCAAATATCATGACACATACAAATGACGTAAATCAGATGATTAAAAAGTTATTAATATAGTGTTTTCTCATGAAGAATACTTGTATTCTTCAATTATGTTTAGGTTAATGTTACGTTTATCTTCCTCCCACTCAACTTTGTGTTTAAAAGGGCCGACGAAAACACACACACACACAAACCTACAAACTGTTTCCTTCTTTAAAGACTTACAAAAAGTTGTTCTTTTTTAGTATGAAGCCATAAGCGAAAACACATAAACCAACAATCTAAACTGTGTATATAAGGTTGTTTAGGCGAGCTTCGGCCTTAAGCACATCTGCTTCCCCATACGTCTTCGTGGCGTAGTGCACAAGAACAAGTTTAAGTCATTTAAATACACATGCAACGTCAAATAAAATTCAAGTAGTGAAAAGCGATGCACTCACCGGTAGGTCCAGCAGCGTCCCGAGGCCGTCCAGCGCGGCGCCGCGACGCAACCTGCACAGCTCGACAAACTCGTCATCTGTCGCGGTCTTGTCTCGCAGTAACCTGAACAGACAAGTCCAACTGCAACCAGCACATCACAAGAAAGACAAAACAGACTTACGCGTGTACTGTACTTCGTCAAACACACCAGCCTCGTGGAACAGAATCCATCTTGAAAAGCTGAAAATCTCTCAGCTTAGTCAAGAATTTCCCCTGCCCTTTCCGGAACTGATCATTTATTACAAAATCTGGTCACTGGACCCTATCCTGAGCTTGATGTATACAGTAGGTCTATGCAATTCAAAATAGGCCTATTATTTGATAAACATTTAAATATTAGTCTCCTACCCACGCCTGATTTCTTAAGTGGTCTGTTTCTTTCATATTTTATTAAAATATGTCTGTACTTTCATGCGTCGGTTTTGCAACGTTTCCAAAGGCATCCGAGGCACACTTGCATTGAATATGGTGTCTTATAGTATCGTCCAGACGTCTGGTGTCGCGACGCTCGGCGTTGGTTTTCCAAGCTAATTTCAAATGGCCTCCCGAGGTTATCCTGAGCGTTGGTTTTTGAATATCCTTTCTAGGCCACGTGAAATGTTGCCAATGGTAAATATGGCCATTAGCTACGTCGCCTGAACGAATGGCGTCGGTTTCTGATTGTAATCTCATTTAGCGTCTAGAGGCACCCATTTGTGAATATTGCGTCTTTTGGCCGTATACGGCGATAGGCTCAGAGACGTTCGACGCCGGTTTTGCCACGTCTTCCGGACCGTCCACAGGGTCACCAATGCTAATTTGGCGTCTCTTGTTAACGTAGTAAGATAAGCTTCGCGACGATTTGCCAGCATTGCGCCTTAAAACGTCACAGGAACATGTCCCCAGTATAATAAAGTAGGCCAATGTGTAAGGCGGCATTATTCATATAAATGTTTACCATGTGGACGTATCTATGCGGAGACTGGAGGATAGACATCAATGAGGGATGTAAATTCACAGTCTGGAGCATGTGTGAATTCAAGAGAGGAGTTGTCTTGTTTCGTAACACTACAGAAGGCTGTGAAAACCTCCGGAGGCTATGAGCAGTCACTCAGTTGCTTCTACTTTCTACGCCAGAACGACAAGTCGCCTCAGGACTACCTCGGCACGAAAAGGTTCAAAGTAGCGACAGCAGTGGCCTATCAACCGGGTACAGTTGCTTGTCCCAGTACTTTCTCCCAATTAACGTTAATAACACTGCACAGTGTGCTGTATGCACCTGGAAATTACAGTCGGTCTGCTAATGTATGGCCAGTACGCTGACCACACACCGTGCGTTGTTTCACAAACAATTCATTTTGTCCCTACCCAGTCACGGAGAAACAAGTCTGCCCGTCGCACAGAAACATTTCTGGATTTTGTTCCACGAAACTCGTTTGAAACACAGTAGCAGATTCGTTAGCCCACTTTTTAAACTACTGGTTCTGGAGTCTTTGTATACAGAGACACTAATTTCCCCCAAAACTATCGATATTTCCAGCTAAAATTTCGTTTTATATTCATAGATCTGAAAGCAAGGACGGACGAAATTTTCATTTCGACCGACAAATGTTTCGCCTGACGGATTCTTCTCGGGCTGCAAGCCGCGTAAGGTGGTTTAATGAAGAATACACCAGCGTTTCGAGAACCATCCTCGTCCTCAGGGTACTTGCAGCCCGAGAAGAATTAATTATACTAAGTCACCGTGAAAATGTTTCACCATCTAATATCCCACACAGCTGTAATATTAACGTCAAAGGATAAATCATACTGATGGTTTTAACAGCTCTGCCCGACAGCCTGAGGAACCTGATTTTATCAACGTTGATTACTAGCAGTTACGTTGAATGTTGGTCGTCCGCTCACCTCGTCATGTCCTTCCACTTTAGATTAAATCCCTGTGATTTCTAAACAACCCTTGATCAACTGCAGTGAATGAGATGTAACTGAAAGTTTATGAGAGATTTAATTATGTTTAAAACAGCTAAACAAGTAAAATCTCAAACCCTATGTAGCAGAGTACAGCTTGAGAAGTTCATCGCACGATCAGATTTTCAAGAAATTCTCCCACTTTCACGCACTGGACAGTATACCGAGGTAGTTGAAACCAGCCCACTCCCTATTTATAATTACTAACATCCATTTTAATATTATCCTTCCATCTGCGTCTTGGCTTACAAATTATAGTCATATCTCAAAGATTGTAATTTAAAAATGTCCCATGACTGCTAATGTACCCTTGTCTCATCCTTCGATAAATCACTTTAACAATAACTGAATTATGCAAATGAAGCAGCTCACCGTGTACTTTCTCCTGTCGAATCCCAAAATGAATTACAATAACATTTTGACCGGGAATAAGATGAACAATCAGAAAACGTAATGATCACGTAAACTAGTTCGAGCTGGCATAGAATGGTTAATTACCATAAATCTAATTATGACAAACGGGAGCAATTTCAAGTCAGGGAGTGTCTGAGGCCACAATTCTCTTCCTTCTGAAAATAATCAAACTCGTTTTCTCTTTAGTAATTTATGAAACAAGACCCGTGGGCTCATTATAAGAAACCCTTAGCAGTTCTCGCCGTGCAAAGGGTGGAGTCATCTTCCATCACACTTAATGTCCCACCCGCCAGCTTATTTATGAGATCTTCAACAATTTTTATGAGCAATTCTTTAATTCTGAACGCCACCTTCCCTTAATAACACTCTCTGATATCATCCTAAGGTTCCTACCTGTTTTAAACTAGTTTTTGAACCCTACAACACACACAAATGCGCCCTGAGGAGAATAGGGATGATGATCACGCCCCGACTTACCCTACCCTCCTACTGGTCTTATAAAAGGCGAAATGACACAGCACGGAACCCGGTGTGCAGGTGGCGAAGCAGGTATCAGACTTCTCTGTGTCTGCGTTAACCAATTGTCTGGATGTCCATGAATGAGCTCGGATGTAACAAAACATTCATAGATCGTGCTACCAGTAGCTGAATTCGTAACAAGTCAAAGGCCAATCGTCATCGAATCAAAACATTTCAAATAGTCGCCATGCTGGTCGAACACCATCCACTGTAGAGAAATCAATGGTTCTACTTCAAATTGCGTTACTGTTATCATCTCTTGGCCGCCATGTTAGCGAAAATTGCCTATGGCTTAGTGTTTGTACCCAGTTTCATGAAAATTGGTACATTGGTGTTTACAGTATTCGTACTGGGTTCGTTTTTACGCCAGTAAGTTTTTTTAAGGCATTTTAAGGAAACCTCCTGTAAAAAAACATCCCAGTAGAACTAATCCTGAGGCACTAAGGGGAAAAATTAATGGAGACTTGTCTCCAACTCAACACGCGGTATAAAATCATAAAGGAAATCAGCAGGCTTGCCGGTTTATTAAACTCTGGCAGTCTGAACGTTTCTAGCGGTCTAATTGCCCAGGTGATTGCAGGAAACCCACTGAACAACAGACGACAGCGTATG